GCATTAGGAAATGGTTATAATTACATTCTTAAGAAATTAACATAGCTATTCACCAAACCTCACTGACTGATATTTTCAAGAACAAGAACAATCATTTCATTACTCAAAATGGCAGATTTTGAGACATTTGAAAACGTTCACTGAAACATACTGGAGACATGAAATAAGTCTAATGTGAATTGATATGTTGCTCACATATGTGCAGATTATTATGACGTATCAGTGATGTAATTAATGGTGTAATATTGAGATTAAAAATGATTATGCTGATGTATGTGGACATATGTGACTATAATGTGATTACATACATATGTGACTACATATGTGACTACTCATGTGACTACATACATATATGACTATATATGTGACTACATACATATGTGTCTATATATGTCACTTCATATATATGTAACTACATATGTGACTACATATGTGACTACATACATATGTGACTACATATGTGACTACATATGTGACTACATACGTATGTGACTACATATGTGCCTATGGTCAAAATAAAATTTTTAATAATTAAACTAAAATTATTGTACTTTTGTTGCTTTTGTACTGTTTCATATAGTGTACCTATATGTGCTACAACATAGTACATTTGTAATAACAAATTATTTTTAATAATATAATATTCAAAATGCAACACTGTACCATGAAAGTACATAGCATTAAACAAGTGCATTAACAGTATTAAAAATAAAAGTCTCACTTAAATTATTCTGAATAAAAAATTATTATAAAAATATATCTAGTATGTCATTTGAAAAATTACTCATTCTTTTGTCAATCAATAGCAATCACTTGATTACAAATTTTTTAACAAACTGTGAGTACTTTATTGTTTCACTAACTCCATCACATATTACCTTTTCTCCCCGCTGAATTAAAAGAAGTATACAAAATATGGATATAAGGTACTCTTCATTCTCGTCCTCATCCGCTAGATCACCTTAAGAATGTCCAGCACCATTCTCGTATCCGATTCAATTACATTCCCTCTCGCAACCGAGATTGGTTGAAGCAATCGAAAGAATCAATTGAATCTCGAAATTCCAGCTTTGAAACGGTTCGTACTTTGAAGGGCTAAGCTGGAACTTTGTTCCAAAGTCAGATCGGTATCGGAGAAATTCCCTGAACGCAAGAAGCGTGTTTCTTCGCAATCTCGTTTAATTTATGCCGCACAATGAGCCGTTCGAGTAAGAGGAAAAAATATCGACTTTAAGCGTAAACGCATAACTTTTCCATCGAAACGGTCAAAGAACAATGGCATTTCGTTATTGCATCGGCAAATAAAGAAACGGCAGAACGATTCTCGGCAAGGTCTTTCCGTTGCATTCCCCGTGAGTCCCCCACCGCCCCCTTTTAAATCGATTGCTACGTGACGAATAGTGTTCCACTTTCTTTCTTGTGTACCTTTACTCCCAGTGAATCTGACAATTGATTGCATACAACCGAATCGGGGTTACGCGCGTGCAGGCCTTTGTCAAAGATGAAAAAACCGACGAGAGGAGAAAAACGAGATGCAATTGCTGTGAATTTAACACGTTCGGCTTTATGGAGGTTATCGGCAATTAACTTGTGTGTACGCTTTTCAGCTTGCTGTGTCAGGGACTTTGCTGAACAGCCTCGTTTGTTGGAAACGTCTTTTGACAGCAAGTTTTTCCTATTCAGATATTGAAGTACCGGTTGAGGTTGAGAGGGTTCAATGGGTTGACTGTTGGATGTTAGATTTATATTTTGGAGTTGTAGATTCAGGAAGAAGGGGTTTTCGGACTGTTTTGGGGAGGTGTTGTTTTAGGGAAAGATTTTGAGAGGTGACAGATCTCAAATTCTCTATCACATCAAGTTTTTGAAACGAATTTCTTGATTTTCAGGTTTTTGAATTTTTAGGTTAGGAAGTCCTGAAATTACTAAGTTACCAAGTTTGCAAATTTTATTACTTACAAAATTAGCAATTTTTGGGATACTAAATTAGCAAACTTTGAAGTTGCTAAATTTCCAAACTCTCAAATTGCGATCTTCTGAAAGTTTCAAGTTTATAAATATTTTTCAATATCATTTAATCCTTGAAATCTAAAACTTCTCACATTTTCGAGTTAAGTTAGGTTGCTTTTAGTTGCTTTTCCCAATGTTCAATTTTTGACTTAATTATTAAATTCATGATTGATATTCTTTTACAGTAATTTTTCCCAACATTTCCTAATAATTAATATTCGATTCTGTCATAAACAGAAATAGTGACATATGATTTTTGTACCTCGAAACTTCGAAAGAAATACGGTGCTTTGTCAAATATATTCCAATCACGTCGGCAACATATTTTACTATGTTAATACATTTCGGTAAAAAAAATTAGGATTCATATTTCACTGTCCAATATGTTTTATTCAATTAGAGTATGCGGTCATCCGCAAAGCAAACATGTATATGCATTGTATTTACGTACAGTTCCTCACAAAAATATTTGGACACTGCACTGTTAAAATAATATTTGTAATACCAAAATTGTTCAAACTTTTATTAAATAGTATTTTAACAAATTTTGTTATTTTTACATATTTTTGTTTTACATATTTTACACTGTTTTCTTCATTATTCATATTATTTATATTTTCAAATAATTAATATACAAGTAACTCTATTTAAATAAGTAATTAGATAATACATGTTAATACGTATTAATGCATATAACAATATTTGATAAACATATTTAATTGTAAGAAAATGGAAGCGAATGTTCAACGTTCACTCACATATAGGTTATGTGACAATATAACAATAAGTATATCAATAAGTTAAATAATATTCAAGTTTCATAAATAATATTTTAATCAAAGTATTTTGTGAGTCATCCACGATAATGTATCTCAAGAATAATTAAAAAAAAGTGATTAACTATAAATTAATCTAGCAATACCTCATTTGATGATGTGTGTAGGTTAGGTTCACATGTATGCATTTATTTATTTCTTTATTACTTACATTATATTTTCGTCCTCTTCGTATTATGTATTTAATAATATCATTAATATAATTACATATTCATATTTATTTATGTTTACTCATACATTTATGTTCAATTTTCCTTATTGACTCATAAAACCTTCCTACACTCTAACATATATACCCCAACAAAGAATATATTCTTTTAATGACAACGTCGTATACAAACATCACAGTGTTACCTCACAAAAGCGAATTCATTTATTAATAATTTGGAACGCAAACGTCCAAATACTTTCGCAGGCAGCTGTACATACACGTCTGACTGAAAATATTTAAACCAGACACGCCGATTAATCACCGAAACAGCAATCATCGATAATCTTTTTCTCCACGCTTCATGCCACGTTTATCATTGCACTTTTTGCATGGTTGCACGCTTTTCATCATGCACGGCCCACGGCACACACGTAAATACCCCAATGAAAATCGACCTACCCCGCTTTGTGCATCCGAACAATTTAGGAGACACGTATAATAATCGAATACATTTTTGATATCCTATATTGATACAACCTCTACCACACTCGCAAAATAATCAAAAATGTTAGACGAGTTAACAACAAATATTTATTTGCCACAGAAAGAAAAATTGCACTTGCAATTTTTATATTTTGTCATAAAATTTTATACTGTTAAAATCATAAATTACGTATTTATTTAACAGAAGAATGAATTTTCTGTTATTATAATTTCTTGTTCTCTTTCAAAGCCTGTTATGAAATCACAATATTTTAAATAAATTTTTGAAGCAGAACATAATTTTTCTCCTGTTACCTGTAAGGGATGAAAAATGTCCTCGCAAAATAAAAATTGTGCACGAAAGGAAATATTGGATGCAATAGCACAATATTTAATAATGTAAATCTACAATAAATTAAAAGTCTACCTTGTAAATCCTGAAAAGAAAAGACCATATCTATGTGAACTAATCGCGCAAAAGAGCAGAGAAATAAATCATCGTTTCGTTTTGACTGACGTCCGCGGAGTATTCGCGTAAGCGAGTAATAAAACGAAAGAAAGTAACAAAAACAAGAAATCGTGAAGATCTCGAGGGGGTGCGATAGTCAGGTGTCACGCCATTTCGAACCCCCGCAACGCAACGATTACGCGAGGGGGTTCCGAGCCTCGCTTGAAATCGCCTCGGTTGACATTGCATCACGAACCACTAACCACATTATTTATGCCACCTCGTAAAACTTGTGGCGTGCCTAAACACACTACTCGTTGCCGTACCCTTCTACCAAACAGTTACACGGACCGGAGAACAGCCTGAACTTCTCTATGTAAACTCCGCCACCTTCGGCTACACCTGTCTCGCCAGCTGTTTCTATCTTAGGGGTTGATGAGTAAATGATATGGGGTCATACCATCGTTGGTGAATGTTTTATTTTGGTTACAACAGTGTATATGGTAGTTGTATTGCAGTTTCAGTTTTTGGGAGTGGAACTTTGAGTTCTTGGTATGGGGGTTTCAAGTGTTGGGTATAAGGAGTTTCAAGCTTTAGGGACAAGGAGTTTCAAGTTTTGGGTATAAAGAGTTTCAAGCTTTAGGGACAAGGAGTTTCAAGTTTTGGGTATAAAGAGTTTCAAGCTTTAGGAATACAGTGGGTTTGGAGTTTATGGTAGTTGTACAGTAATTTCAGTTTTTGGGTGTAGATCTTTGACTACTTGGATGTATAAAGGTTTCGAAGGTTGGTTATGTAGGAGTTTCAAGTTTTAGCCATGTGACAAAATTTCAATTTACTGTTGTACAAAATTAACCTTCACCCTACATCAGGTTGTTTTAAATTGAATTTAAAAAAATGTAAAAACATAATATCATATGAAATGGTCTTTATAATGATATCATAGTGGTCACTATTACAATGTCACAGTAAAATGGTCATCTTAACAATGTCACAGTAACATGGTCATCTTCATGAACATCTTTGGTATTCACAAATATAATATTAATAAATATTTTTTTTCATGGTTTTCTTGCAGTTACCATACTCGATGGAGTTGGACTACGACATCGTAGGTGTACCTGGCGGTGTTTCCGGAGTAATGGCATTGCTTCCTCCCAGGGTGAACGTATCAGCCAGAGGGGAAGTACCAGTCACCTTGCAAGTCTTCAGGATCAGGCTACCCTGTTCAGGACTTGTCAGCGCTGAAATTCCTTTGGCTTTGAGGTTAAACGTCACTGCCCCTCCTGCCACTAAATACAACGACACTATTCTTGTCTTTAAGAGAAACAAGATTTGTTTGAAGGGTAAGTTCATATTAATAATTAATATCACTCATTGCTCCACATCCTTGAATGCATTACACTATTAATACTCTGAGACCCAGCGATGTGTCCTACATCCCTAAATGCTTTTTTTAATCCCGAATGCCTCACATGTCTGAATGACCCACACTACTAATTGCCTGAGACACAGTGAAGTGCTTCTAGCATGGAATGCCTCATATCACTAAATGACCCACGCCACTAGTTGTCCTGTGAAGTGTTCCATACTCTTGATTATCCCATAACCCTAAATGGCAGCACACCACTAATTGTCTGAGACCTAGTGAAGTGCTTCTACCATTGAATGCCCCACATCCTTAATGACCTATCCTACCTGTGGTCAATGACTCAGTGAAGTGCCCCAGATCTCAGAATGACCTATACTCTCGAATGTCCTGTATCCCTAACTGACCCACGTCACTAGTTATCCAGTGAAGTCTTCCAGACCCTTGAACGTCCCATACCTCTAAATGACCCACGCTACTAATTGTTCGAGACCCAGTGAAGTACTCCTACCCTCCAATGCCCCACATCCCTGAATGACCCACCCCACTAGTGGTCTATGACTCAGTGAAGTGCCCCAAACCCTCGAATGCCCTATACTCCTAAATGACCCACAGCACCAGTTGTCCAGTGAAGTGCCCTATAACTTCGAATGTCCTATACTCCTAAATGACCCATACTACTAGTTATCCAGTGAAGTATCCCAGACCCTTGAATGCCCCATAACTCTAAATGACCCACACTACTAATTGTCCGACACTCAGTGAAATGCTCCTACCCTCCAATGCCCCACATCCCTGAATGACCCACCCCATTAGTGGTCTATGACTCAGTGATGTGCCCCAAACCCTCGAATGCCCTATACTCCTAAATGACCCACACCGCTAGTCATCCAGTGAAGTGCCCCATAACTTCGAATGTCCTATACTCCTAAATGACCCACACTACTAGTCATCCAGTGAAGTGCCCCATAACTTCGAATGTTCTATACTCCTAAATGACCCACACCACTATTTATCCAGTGAAGTGTCCCAGACCCTTGAATGCCCCATACCTCTAAATAACCATACCCTTCATTACCCCACACCCCTAAATGACCCACATCACCAACTATCCAAGACCTAGCGAAATACCCCAAACCAGCTTACATCTCATATCATATATTTTATACTTCATATCATTTGCATCTTATATTTCCACATCACTGTACATTACAATGTGTCATATTTATCACTCATATCTCACTTCTTAATTAGTACTAAACACCTATACTATCTCCGTAAGCATTTTCCATATAAAACAAGAATTCCCAAACTCAATAAATTATGTCCAGCATAAAATATTCCACGATTGAACGTATCACAAACGACTTCTGATACTATCACGGCGTTTAGACCGTACCGAAAGCAATTAAAGCTGTAAAATGGTAATTTATAGAATACTATTAGAGGCGTGCCACGGTTTCCTGCATTCTCGAAAACGCGTCAACGAGCGGATAAAAATCCGCTCGTGCGTGTATACGTCACGCGTGGAACGTGTAAACCGTGTCAACGTATTCGCATACAAGTATTTTAACACCGTGCCGGTCTGTCGATAATTACTTGGTTTACGTAATCGCGAATTTAATTAGTACGTTCACCGTTGAATGCCTTCGTTACAGGCGACGCAATTTTCGACGTATTCGCGATTAAAGCGAAGAGAAATCGCTCGAATTCGTTTCGAGACTCTTTCGTACGGATCGTGTGTGCTGTAAGTGCGATTTGTGCACCTTTGTGTAACGCGAAATTGACAACAACGTCGATGCATAATTTGTGAAAGAGAATTTCGTGCATGCGAGTTCTACCCTCTGTGATATTTAAGCCCTCGTGAGAATCGGGTGGTTAAAGCTCGATTTTGTCGACGGGGTAATCTCGTTTGGTTACATGGCTGATAGGGGTTGAAGTATGTGCTACAATACATTTTTGAGATGATAGGATACAGAGAAATATTTTTTAAGTATATAACTTGCACGATGGAAATTTTTAAGGTTAATATGGATTTGGAAATTTTGCACTTGTCAATTTTGTAATTTAATAATTTGAAAATTAATGTAATTTCTAATTTCAAGGATTCTAGTTTTGATGCAAGGTTTCTAGTTTTGCAATTTGTAAATTATTAGGTATAGCTTGTAGTTTTATCTGCTCATCTGCTTTCGCAAAATTCGTGAGAAATTAATTATTTCTACCAGCTCTGTTTAATTATATACAGTAACAGCAGTGTCGAAGAAAATAGCTGCCTTATTATGAAGCGTTAAAATTAACCATGAAGGACGAGGGAAAATAGGTTGTGTGCACCTTCACTATTATAATATTTAAAGAGGAGAGAACATTACCACATCCATAAGTAGCTGTTCATTTTTATTTCACATCATATTTACATCTTGTCAATTTAAATTTCAGTCTTATTTACTCTAAATAATTTTATGATATCTCTTCATCATCTTTTTAACTTAAACTTTCATGTACGTCTCACTGTAAATAATTATAAAATAATGTAAAACATTCTTTCTGTACAAACATATATACTCCATAAATAAATAAATGATTACAAAAGTGTAGACTTACCTCATAAAATGCTCCAACGATGCTACAGTATACAAGAGTATACAATAATAAGCTACAGTACACAATAGTAAGACAAATAAAAGAGAAGAGCAAGAATTAACCGAAATCTTTGTAGAACATTCCACATAAATAAAATACTATTGTAATACAGGAATATACTCGAACGAGGAGTAAACAGAAAGAGGAATGAAATAAGAGAAAGAAGAAGAGAACGAGCAAGAAACAGGGAGAATTAACAGACGCTGATCCGAATCCGGTTACCGGCACAGGAGACACTACAATGAAAAGCAATCCGCCGAATAAAATTGAATCTCGTCAGGAGTTGGTGTATTTAATGAAAGAGAAGAGAAGAAGGATCTCACCGAGCCGAGATCAAGAGGATCGACCGCGTAGAAAAGTGAAGTGGCGAACAAGAAAAAAAGAGGGTCGGCTATGCGGTAAAGAGGGAAGAAAATAAGTAAGCGGCTATGAGACGAGAATCACCGACAGGGAGTTTCCTTCTTCTTTCACTACCACTCTGCCAGGATTTGCTTTTCTTCGTGAACCTGTGCTGTCTCCTCGTGTACCTCGTTGCCGAAGACCTGCTTCTTAAGAGATCTTGCAGAAATCCGAAATCGTCTGGAGACCACTCAAAAATAATCGAATCTCCTGCCCTCTGCGACGCTCGGTACCTTGATAGGATTCTACAGGGTGTTTCATTTATGTTGCAAACTTTATTACTATTTTTTAATACTGGAAGCAGGATCTAAATGGAAGAATATTGAATTTTTGGAATTTTATGAGTCGTGAAATTCGGCTGGTAATTTCTTCAGCTGCTTTTAATTTGGGATTTTCAAGATTTGCGATTACTGTACTTGTAATTTTTTACATTTTTCAAATTTTGGTACTTTTCGAGTTTTTGTAATTTTTAAATTTTTGTACTTTTCAGGTTATTGTACTTTCCAAATTTTTGTACGTTGCAAATTTTTATAATTTTTCAAGTTATTGTACTTTTCAAGTTTTTGTACTTTTCAAATTTTTATAATTTTTTAAGTTATTGTACTTTTCAAGTTTTTGTACTTTTCAAATTTTTGTATTATTAACATTAAAAATTTGGTGTTCGACTATTACTTCATTTTGAATATTGAATGTTTCATGTAACGATGGTATTCTTGCATCAATGATTTTTCACATTTTTGAATTTCTGTAATGTACGAATTATTAACATTAAAAATTGTATGCTTGACTATAAATTGATTTTAAATATTCATGAATGTTTCATGTAACGATCCTTGTACTTATGACTCCATATTTTTAAATTTCTGTACTGCTCGAATTATTAACATTAAAAATTGTATGCTTGACCATAATTTGATTTTAAATATTTATGAATGTTTCATGTAACGATGATACTCTTATATATACGACTTTTCCCATTTTCGAATTTTTGTACCACTCGAATTATTAATATTACAAATCTTGTCTGCTTGTAATTTCATTTTAAATATTTATGAGTAACATTTCGTATAACGATAATATCAAATTCTGTCGAGTGAAACAATGGTAATACAATCTTCAGCAAACATTTATTTAACATTTCATCGCGTTACAGCAATATGGAATTTCATATCGAAAAACAACATACACGAAGCAATAACCGATGATAGAAACGCAGATTAATCTTTTTATAAATGGTGAATCATATTCCCTCGTCGATAAATCAACATTTCCTTCATAAATTCATCGCGACAGATTTACATCAAATGTACAAAAAAATTGATTTATCGTTACGTTATTGAAAATGTATTGCATTTTAACAGATTTTTTTTTAACCGCTATTATTGTTTTATTGAATTAATCGAGGTGTGAAGTAAAATATTGGGTTGCGAGATATATGTATGTTACAGTAATTTCAGAATTTTCGAATTTTTAATGTTATTTATGTACAAACATAATTGTTATTAAAGTTATAATAGAAATGAAGTAACAATAATTATAATAAAAATTAAGGAACAATAATTATAATATAAATTAAGGGACGATATTTACAATAAAAATTAAGTAACAATATTTACAACAAAAATTACACAACAATAGTTATAACAAGAATTAAGCAACAATATCTACAACAAAAAGTAAGAAAAATATTTACAACAAAAATTACACAACAATAGTTATAACAAAAATTAAACAACAATATCTACAACAAAAATTCAGCAAAAATATTTACAACAAAAATTACAAAACAATAATTACAACAAGTACTAAGCAACAATATTTACAACAAAAATTATATAACAATAGTTACAACAAAAATTACACAACAATATTTACAAAAAAAATTAAGCAAAAATATTTGCAACAAAAATTGCACAACAATAGTTGCAACAATTATTC